GCTTAGCTTGAACTTATACAAGATCTTAGATGTGCGGGAGTTAAACTTAGAACAGCTTGAACTTTGACTTCTGATGAAAGTCCCCCGTAAAATTGACTGACTTACGCCACCTGGTTTGAATGACAGAGACACGTCGGTACCGTCACCAGCAAAAATCCACGAGTTGAAGCCAGCATTCCGTATCGCGCAGAATGCATGTGACTTTACAGAAAATGTCAGATATGCATATGGGGTCGCCATAGTGTAATCTGTAATGGGGAGGTAGGCTTATTACACATTTTTTGTGGTTTACACTATGTAACTGATTAACGTAGTGCGCTAAACTAATAAGTAGGTGGTTACAATTAGGTACATTTATTGCTATCTTAGGTTAAGATTAGGATAAAATCACCTGTAATATTCTCAGTCTTCATTTGATCAAACACGGTTGTGGTTGTAGAGGTGCGTACGACAGCGACGCAAGAAGACCAATCTTCAGGGTAAATCTACCTCAGCGCATGAGTGCGTGCAACCAGCTGTACTGTTCCACCTGGTAGCACTTTATGGTCGATCCACCGCCGTAGATGTTGCTGGAGCTGATCCTCTTAAAGGGCGATGAAGATTTCATCTTAAAGTTTAATCGGTTGTCGACGTAAGACTTCAGGCTAAAGTGGGTCCAATCTCGAGTCCTTCCATAAAGAGGATGACCACCAAGATTTTTGAAATCGGATAATCGGCCAACGAAGCCTGTAACCTGCAAAGTTTTTGTACGAAGTCGTAGATCGAGCGTTTGCCATGGCGACATTTAAAAAAACTAGCACGACGTCTAAACGCCGCATTTGGTGGAAAAGACATCTTGCTATCGTTTCTTAGAGTAAAAGGAGTGAAAATAAGGGTGGTTAATTTCACACGTGAAAGCATATTCATAAGCAGCGCCTTGCACATGCAAAAACGCAAATGCAACCTTCTGCTATTCCTCAAGAACCAGCGCTGCTGTCAGTGTCATATCCACTTGGCAGAACCAAAATGAGAGGATTTCTTCCTGTTCTCCGATATAGGCTTAGCCGAAACATTCGGCGGTTCTACGCTTCGTGAAGATTGTGGCATCTTCATTCGGATAACCGGGATCGATGAAGTCAGGAGTTACAGGGCAACACGATGAACTATGTGTTCCATTATGGTCGGCTCCGAAGTAAGGGAAGTTGTTACCTCTGTCGTGACTTGTTTATCAGGATCGGTTTCATAAGTCATGAGGGAGCGGATGTGCTTCTTGGCCACATCTTGGTCGTGATGTAACAATTAAATGGTGGCTTCACCATACGAGTCAAATACTTGGACTTTGATCTCAAGTCCATGTTCTCCTTCATCGATCGGTATGATCTTATACTGGGGTATGCGTGATTTAAAGACCAAGAGCCGTGAATCGACTGGAGAACCAGACATATTGCGAAAAGCTAGACGTGTCGAAGTCAAACCAACTGACGTCATGGTCCGTCTGTGGCTATCCACCAGCGTAGCAACTTCGCAATCAAAGATAGAGCTAACTAGGTTGGCGTTTGAGACATAGTTGTGAAGTTAAAAGTCACCAAGAAAGTGTGGAATGCGACGTGAGACGGACTTACCGTAGTAACCATTACTTCAGTATATGTATTTAATGCGGAAGCTCATGCTTCAATATTTAATTCTACTGTAGAAACTCGCGCTCCTATGATCAAATCCACTGTGAAAGCTCCTGCTTCAATAGAAAACCCTATTGTGGAAGCCAACTACGCCCCAGAAGTTGAATTTACTGTGAAATCCAATGCTTTACCGTGGAAACACGTTGTTTCCGGTAGGCAAATCTGCTGTGGAAGCAACAGCTCCAATAAGTAACGCTATTGTGGAAGCACTTTATACTCCGATAGAGAACTACTGTGGACGTTAAGACTCCAGTAGCTAACGCTACTATGAGAGCACATCATGCTCCAATAGTACAAACTATTGTGGAAGCTAAAGCTCCAGTAGATAAAATTACTGTGGGAGCGCACAAGCTGAAACACAACGCTCCGGTAGTTATACATACCGTGGAAGCCACCGCTCGCGTGTCGAATCTACGGTGGGAGCTCATGATCCAGTGGTTCATTCCACTCTGGAAGCAAAAAAAATATAATGAAGGCAGCGCTAGATTCACCGATCAGGCGTATATGGCCCCATTGCCAGAAGTATCTGCTCATACCAGCATAGAAGAATTAACCTTTCGGAAGTTTTATTAAAGACCTCAAGAATGGCGCACTAGTCGTTTTGATTCAACGTGCAAGCGCCGCAACAGAAGAGGTTAGTTAGTTCTCAGTATTGGATCCAAGGGTCATCGAAGATTATTGACAGCGATTTAAATCGCGACGCGGATCGGTGATTCTCAAGAATCCGCGCGATCCTTATTTTGCCCTAGTTTTCAAGTACACGTCAACGTGTTTGAGTCCGGATATCCCAAGTGCCCCCCTGCGAAATCGTAGTATACGGTCATGCCAGGGGCAGAATATCTGCTATTGGGTCAATGGCCATTGCCAGCTGAGCAATCCGAGTTTGTAGACACGTTCTTTGCTGCTAAACAACAACAAGAGCTCCACTGTGTGCCAACGTTTTGAGTTCGCAAAGCCAGCGGCAAAGTGGTGCATTGTACACGCGACAACCAAGCTGAACGCCAAACCTGTGCCAGTATAGACCCCTATCATCACCTCGAAACGCTTTAGCGTACTTGATTGAGAAGATAGCTTTTATCAAGTTCTAGAGAATCTCCATCAATCCATTAGACGTACAGAGCAGTGAGTACACCTTAAGGGATGTTACGGAGTGGCTTGTGATGTCACACGGACTCTCCAATGCGCCAGCGACGTTTAAGTGCCTCTTGACGCATTTATTCCGGCCATTGCGATCGTTTGCGCCATCGCATTTCGACGACTTTTCGTCCATTCGAAACCCGAAACAAGTTGAATTATCGATCAAGTTCATCTCAAACAGCTGGAACAGGTATTGGCGTGTATGAAAGGACACCTGCTCTTTGCCAACATTGATTAATGTATATTCAGCGCCAAAACGTACCAGTTTTGGCTTGTTTTGTTGGCATTGACAGTACCCAGCGAGGACCAAAGAATCTCAGAATAGCCGACGCCAACTAACCAGAAGGTTCTGAGGGTTTGGTCAACTACATCCATCGGTATATCGAGAATTACACCGACATGGCGCGCCAGTTATCGGATTTGATCAAGAAAGAGCAAGAGTGGTTATGGACAAATGACTGTGCAGTCGCCTTCGACGATGTCATGCACAGCTTAAATGCAGCGCTAATTTTGGCATTACCAAATGACAGTTTACCGTACAGTGTTGTGTGCGACGCCTCCGACTTTGCAATCATATGTACATTGCTGCAGCAAAACGTTTATGGATAAGAACATTTCACCTCGTATCAGTCGAGGCAGCTGAAGTCAGCTAAACATAAAAAACCGTTCAGGACAAGAACTTTCTAGCAATGAAGTTGCTTTGGTGAAGTTTTGAGTTCACCGCTTCGGTCCCAAGCCATTCGTCGTTCATACCAACTATGCATCGTTGCTACAGCGACGCAAACGCCACATTTGTCGCAACTGATGGTCCGATGGTTGTCGTTCTTTGCTGAATACAACTTACGGAGGCTTATAAGCCAGAAAAATTGAATATCTTGGCGGATGCCTTATCTCGGCGTCTCATTCGTGACTTCGCAAGCGGCTTCAAGCGTGTTCGACATGATACGACAAACGTATCCAAACGACCCAGCTTGTTCTGTTATATCTAAGTAGTGAACCACCAAGGATAATTTAGTCTTATCGACATTATTCCCGCGAGTTCGCGGTCTGACTCATCGAGTGTCTGATGGATGAAATAATCTTTCTCAAATGTCCGCTGTAAAGCGCGTGTCACTATTGGATACGAGTGACTCTGGTAATCCATGTTATCGAATGACATGATCGATAAATTATCCAGTGCTTTGTCTCCTAGTAACGGAAACAACCGTTAGTGCGAGGTATACCATCTTGATTAAACTGTCTACAAAGATCAAAGCATCATTGCGCCTTGCGGCATCCGGGGGTAAACCAAAGACAAAGTCCAAACTGACGGACCACCAGCCATCTGCTTGTACTGGCAGACTCTGCAAAGGAGCCTGACTTTGTGGGCAGGGCTTCACACGCTGGTATACGTCACACTTACGAAGGTACTTCTTGACCCAAGCTTACATTTGGGCCATCAAAAGTGTTGTGCAAGGGCTGCAAAAGTCTTTTCTCGATCGAGATGACCTGCGATAATCGTATCGTGTACTTCATACAACAGCTTGTGCTTCAAGTCTTCGTTGTTGGGTACGAACCTGAGAGTCATTCCCTTCATGTAGTTTAACCCATCTCTCGAGGGAGTATCGACCAATGGTCAAACCGACCGCGCGAATCGCGTTCTACGCAGTTTTTGTGAATCGTCGACGACGACATGGATTGATATGCTCCCGATGGTCGAATTTGCCATCAACAATGCGGTCCATGCGTCAATTGGCTTAATGCCATTTATCATTAATGGCCTTCGCGATCCAGCATTGCCTCTTGTCTGATGAGAGACTAGCGCGATTTTGTTGAGGTAGGAGTACGGCAAGCGTTTGCCTCACAACCCACTACGATTGACAAGAGTCGGATTCGTCAAAGTACTGACCAGTTCGTGACCGAAAGGGCAAATGTTGTATTGCGCATATGTGTTGCTATGGCGGTAGCGCAAGATTTACAGAAAACTAATGCTGATACGCATGGTCGTTGGAACACCCATTTGTCACATTTATCCAAAAAAGATGATTATGTACTAGTCAGTACCAAGAATATGTCTGACATCTTCCAAGTTTCTTCTCCGATACATCGGACCCTTCAAGGTCTTGAAATGTGCAGTAATTGCATATACATTGGACTTACCAAGTTGGACCCGTATCCACCCAACGTTTTACGTCGGCTTGCTCAAGCCATGCCTTAGCAATCCTCTTATCGTGCGGATTGTACAAACGGGTCCGGTGACGGAGATCGTGAACGAGAATGATTGCGACGCTGAAACCCGAGAGTCGAGACTCTGTGCAACAGCAATCTGAAGTTGATGATCGTCGTCACGAAGACGTTGATTATCCGCTTAGAGTCGAGCGGATTCCACCCAAAGAGCAGACACTGCTGCGTGAGCGTCACCTCCACACGGCAAACTTTACCCCGCAGTGAATCCGTCGCCTTTGACATTTGATGGCCAATCTTGCAATCGGATGGTACGACCTCGTCCATCTGCAAGTATGGTACCGACAAAAACGTCATCGACGACACCGCTGTCGATTGTGCGACCACCGAGGATTCTGTTGCTGGTGGTAGACGGAAACGGAGTTGCCAAAAAAAGATTGTGTCGACACGCCGACACCATGGTGGCTACAGCTCCTTGTGAAATGGCTCGGCTATCTGGATTCGGATAGCTGGAGAGAGTCACATCTGCAACTCCTTGCTTCTTGACGCCGCTCGTGAATAGGAGATTGAGAGCCCCCCCTGGATCCAATATGAGCCGTTTGTTACTGGTTAGCGTAGTCGCTAAACTGATTAATAGGTGGTTACAATTAGGTACATTTTATTGCTATTTTAGGTTAAGATTAGGATTAGGATAAAATCACCTATAATATACTCAGTCTTCATTTGATCAAGAGATCCACACACGGTTGTGGCTGTAGAGGCGCGTACGACTGCTCCACATGGAAACCAAGCCTCAAGGGAAACTACCTCAGCGCTAAAGCGCGTATAATTAGCTGCCTCGTTACATAAGCCATTGCTATAATTTTTTACAATGCACGCAGAAGGTACCCAGATATACCTTCACGTAATGGCCAATTATTCTCATTACAAATGGGTTAGCACTTACGTGGGCGCGTATGAAGCGTGTCAATGATTAGAACCGTCGCCTCATGATTTGGCACCTTTAACATGTCTGCCTGTCCCGACAGATCGCTAAACACGATCAAGATGATTTTTAATGGGCTACCTCGATGATCCACATGTTTCAGCAAGCTTGACTAACTTTGTCACAGCAAATTTGATATGTCCGTAGCGTAGTAGCCAACTTGCGCGTCGTGCAGTGGAGGTTAGACTTATGGGATGATCGCGGTGCTAGAGCGACATGGCCCCTCTCATTGCGTTCTCGTTTTATAACGCAATTTATGATTCTGCAGGCTTTACGCCATTTCTCATCAGTGCTTAACAAACCGCACGTCTTCCTGATCCCCATCCAAGTTGTTAAGTATTAGAATAGATACCAGCCTCGTAAGAATTCGATTAATGAATAGCGAAAGGTATGTGAAAATGCGCGGCATAAACAACATTTAGACACCTACAAAGTGTACTTTTTGTAATGATGTTGAACCGACAAACAAATCAACCTGATTTGACTGAAGTCTTCAGACGCAATGCAGTCCTCAGCAGCTTACGTGCGCAAGACTCACTTCATGTGGCTTTTAACAAAGGTAGAGGTGGTGACTCAAAATTTGGTGCGTACTCTTATCGAACAGCGCATAGCCATTTTTTTTACTAGAAACGGCGTTCATGACACCGGCCACGTCCTCTTTCGCGTTCCCAAAACCA